CCATGAACTGGTAGAAGCTAGAATTCATGGATTGGCCAATGAGTTGGGTCTCAGTGGCTGAATGGTCTATGACCTCGGCTTGTATCCGGTTGATCCTGGGATCGAAACCTGGCAGTATGTGCGTACTGCCGATGAGTCGCAAACTAGGACAAGAGAAACAGCTATCCAGTGCTCCCCTGCTGGTTTTCAATGGTTCTCTAATTGATATCAATCCGTGGTCTAAATCTTAAAATAGAAAAGGTTTATAAATGAAAAAATGACATCTCTTGTCTTTAAAAAACTTTGCTCAATCATATGAGTCATGAAACAGGCACTAAAATATAACAAACGAACAAAATTGCATGAACAGTGATCGGAATTTCACCTCAGACTTAGAATTGTTAGTCTACGTTTGTTAAACACTGTAAGCAGTGTGTACGTTTGCGTCGGATTTTTAGTGATTACGTGTGACTAGACTTCATGGTTGTAGATAACTGAATATACAAAAATACCTATGTGTATATGCGGTACATTGATGAAATAGGTAAATGACATTCGTAAAAACATATCTTATTTAGGTTAAAGAGAAATTATCGTGCGTTTCGATCCATTTTTATTATTTTTTCATGCTTAAAATCTCTTCTACTGCACTTAGAATAATCAACAGACTCCAGTAAACTAATTTTGAGTCTGTATGTAAGTGTTCAGACAAAATTCAACTAGTCTGATGTGAGTAAAAATTTCAGGAATAGCAAACTCCAACAGCTTCTGCCTAGTCAGTTACTCACTTATAGGACGTAACTGCCCACTGAGAAAACTATTTTAGGAATTCAGTTATGCCTCACACCTACTATCTTTAAATTCCAAGGTAAAATATATAGACAAACAGAAGGTGTAACAATGGGATGCATCACCAATATCCCTTGTCATAGCAGATATATTTTTGGACAGTTGGGAAAATATGGCTCTTAATACATTCACATAATCCTACTCCGAAAATATGGTGGAGATATGTGGATGACACTTTCACACACAGTGTTAAAAACACAACATATCTCTCTCTAGCTTCTTGACACATATAAACTCACTAGTAGAGGGAATAAAATTCACATTTGAATCGGAAAATGAACAAGGAGAATTAGCCATGATGTTAGATTGTAAAATGAAACGAATAGAAGAAGGTAAACTGCACACTAGTGTTTATAAAACACCAACGCATTCTGCTAGTAGATATTTAGACGTTAATTCGTTTCATCCGTTAACTGTTAAGGCAGGCTTAGTTAAGTTAGGCGTCTAATAAACCGAGCAGTAGCACTAAGTAGCACAAGAAAAGACCTAAATGATGAAATAAAACAGATAGGAGAAGCGTTGGAATCAAATAACTAACTATCCTATAAAATTCATTAGGAAGATAAGTAAAGACCAAAAACAAAATAAAAATAATTGTGAAACTAGTAATGATAACATAAATAAGAGAGAATATAAGTCATCCACTGTTATACCATGTAGGGAGGGGACATCTGAGACCCTCTATTCGTAGGATTCTCAATAAAGCAGGAATTGGGGTGGTGGCATTCAAACCCACAAACTCACTCAAATAGGACAAGCTTTGTAGGTAGGTTAAAAGACACTGTAAGTTGACCCAATTAAACAGAATAATATAATTTACAAAACACCTTGCAATGACTGTGAGTTGGGTCAGCTACATAAGTCAGTCAAACTAGTAGATCAGGAGTAGTGAGATAATCGGAACATCAGAATTTAGCGAAGGTTAGAATGACTGATCCCTCGAAAATAAGTAATTTAGAACACAGCCAAGCAATTGCACTTTAAGCACTAACACACAACCGCACCATAGGGTGGGAGGAAGAGGGTTAAAATTCAGAAAGCAATATAGGTAGAGAGAGAGAGAGAGGTTGATTACGGAATCCTTGTTCATTGTGCCTACATCCAACATATGCAATAGAAGTGACTCAATGCAAATACCAGATATATGGAAGATATGATTACCAGTCAAATCAGAGAATAATAAATAACGTTAAAATGTATTCAATTCACATCATAACATTCTAACAAGTTACTTATTTTTACTGTAAAAAACATCTTATTTCTCCCATCTTATTGTATTTGATTGATAACACTAATATTGTTTTCGAATGTACTTTATCTTATATTGATTTTATTCAAATGTCCAGTCATGAAGTTTTACTCAAGTATGTGAATGAAGCAAAACATTGTGTGAGTAGTGCCTTGATATGATTATGACTGGCAATAGTTTGTGCTCGAAACGTGGTCATCAGTAAATATTACTGTATAACACTGTGTGATTTATCAAAATGAAAGCGTTATCCATAATGGAGTTATACTCCACCACATTGCCCAAGTTTTATCCTTATATCAATGTCTCTTGAGGCTAGAATTCATAGAATCTTCAGCCCTAATTCAGTAGAAGAGATCACTCTTTGCTGAAGAAGACACTATTTGAGAATGGCTATCCACCACGCGTTATAGGCAATTACATACAGCTGAAAATCAACAAAGAACAACTCATCTCTGTGCTGAATCATATACTTTACATGAACGTGACGTTCAAACGCGATCTTCTGACCGACGTCCTAACGAGAAGAATACCTAACGCCCTGAACAGCACATTCTCTGCTGCTACTTTACGATTGGTATTCTCAAGCCGCCAATAGTTCCTCGACAGCTCTAAAGATAAACTATAGCATTTGACCACTTCTGTGTGTATCTACGAATATGCGTGCTCATGTGGAGCCAGGTATATGTAGGTAGTTCGATGTGTGTTTTATCTAAAAGAGTCAGAGAACATTATCTCACTATGTATTAATAAAGAGTGCTATAACTGAATTTAAATTCTATGCCGATCACTCAAAATGTAAGGAGAATTAACCCAAAGTCATTTACAAAGTCAAAAAAAGACTCCCGGAAACGGTAAGCTTCCGCATACTTCGCATTTCTCAGTGAGGCATTAGCAATCCGGATGAGAAGCCCTAATTTATGTACACAGAAGAAACTTCTCAATCCTCTCCTTCTACTCTGGGGATAATTCCAAGTTCGACTACTTTGTTACCGATACTGTTTGTGGATTTTTTGTATGATATTTCGGTAACATCTTTTTCTTAGCAACCCTTTATTTACTCTTTCTGCCTGTTACATAATTGATTAAAAATGCCCATTACAATTTCCAAAAGAATGGATACTGAACGAAGAATACTCTTTTCAATAACTTCATCATCAGGCTCTACAGAAGTGAATGAATTGGTGTTATGAACAACATTAACGCTTAAATAACCGCGAATCAATAATACAAGTGGATTACAGTTCAGTAGCATCAACATAACAATAAACCGAATGTCAGAAAACTTGGGAAAGATAATAATTCAAATTTATGAATTTCTAGTCTCTACTGAAGGCCAGTCAGGGCAGTAGTAGGGGCTAGCTGGACTTGCTTATTCTCCACACAGAGCACTGGTTGTTTGAGGCGAATTGCAATAGCCTCTTCTATTTGGAGCATGCTGTGCTTCGATAGTGATTTTGGAAATTTATCAGGCACCCGGTAGATTATAGAGAAGGATTCTTCCACGCTGGCTTTGTGGCCGGTTTTCACCAGATGGACTAATATCGAACCGTTAATGGTTTTCACTACATCTTTACTTAGCCATACTTGGAGATGTTCTCGAGCGAGTGAGCACGAAAAATCAAGTTCCTAGAGCAACAATGGCCAATATAACTCGCTCCACCACAAATGCAGTTGCAGTTGAATTGGTAGATACAATTTGAAGTGGCCACCTAGTCTGGGTACTTCATCTTTCAGTCAAGGTAGCACCATCGGTCATGTAGAGAATAAAATGTGTAGTTCGCCGCCAGCAATAAAAGTTCTTTGAACTGATTTTCTGAATTTCTTCGTAATTATCTCACTTGGTATATCGATTGCCCTTGAATTGCAGTCGTATATGAAGAGGCTTCTTGTTTACAGATAGTGAGTAGTCCTTTTCCGCCCCTTTCTTTGTCATGTGTTTCTTGATAAATTTGTCAGGATAACCATTTTTTGATCAAAGTATCATATACAATGCTCAATTCATCTTCAATTACTTCTTCTGAGCATATAGCATATTACATAAATTATTTTGGACACTTGTCTTCATACTCTTTCATTGACATCCTATTTTTCTGGGTGTCTTTTATATTATGTAACCCTTGTCAATACTTACTCATTTTAACCCCCCTCCCTCGTTACACTTTGATTATTCGTCACATTTTTTGAGATATTTTGATGACGTAAACAACAACAACCCTAACTAATTTTTTATTCTTCTCTGACAAAACTAATGTTCACAAATAGGTATATGTAACTGCGATTGTATACAGCGCTGAGTGGATGAATTTGCCTCCGAAAAGAGACTCTTTGCTGAACTCTTTGTTCTTACAATCTCACTTCACGATAAATTATGACAAATCTAAGAGACAGGCTACTTTGAAGGGGCCTGTGTAAGTAAATGTTCATTCGTCAGAGGCAATACATCCTAATCTTCAAAAATTAATTTATACGGATTCCACCCGCACCCACTGTCAGGTTTCGAACCCACCTGGTTGCAACCCGAACTCATAGACCACTCAGCTGAAGGGACCTCACTCAGTGGCCAGTCCATGAATTCTAACTTCTACCACCAACCAGGGTGGTTGGCGGGATCTCCCTCCTCACTCCCTACTGGATGGATCCCACTGGTCATGACTTCTCAGCAGACCTCTCCCAGACAACTTCATCTTGTAACCAGTCACTAGGGAGCATCAAATCTCAATGCTTCTCTAACTGAAATCAATGCGTGGTCTAACCTGCAACACACATAATAATAATAATAACCTATTAGATCCGCCAACAGTAATTGGTGACTATATTTCAATTCATTTCTCTTTTTTTCACCAATCAAGTGATTCGTCCATTATCATGTGAATATTAACCTTGATTGCATCATGTGTCTGTTCCATGTGATTAATTGTGCACAGAACATTGGTTACAGCTGGTGAAGACACTAATATATATATATATATATATATATTAGTGTGCAGAAATTTCACTTTTAATTTATCAGATTTAGAAGAAATAATAAATAAATAAAAAAAATACAATAAGGAGAATAAATATCTTTCGAAGCATAAATTGACATTGCACTTTCTTTCTTTCATTCAACCTCTTCTAAAGGTAAGTAAATCTATATCGGTATTATAATCTTTTTTGCAATCGTACTATGTGTAAAATGCTTTCTGTGAAAATTATTATAAAGTGCTCTTTTTTTAAACAAATATTGTGCATTTCATATATAAATATTCATCGGGTTAAAAATATTCAATCTGTTAGTTTGCAATTCGGGAAAGTTTATTGAGAAGCAAGAGGTTGGTTCTCATCTACTCATTGTAGAAGGCACCAGTTATTCAGAGTAGTTGGTAGTCATTAACTAAACTATCACAAATGAATACTCAAGTGTCGGGGTTTGTAGGGATTCGACTGGTTTCAATCAGTCAATCAGTTTGATGCTCACTAGTGACTAGCCCTATTCAGGTAGGTGACTAGTTACCTGGGTTCTAGTGGGAAGTTGTGACCCAGTGGACTGGCCATTGGAGTGGGTCCCAGTGGCGGCTGCTTAGTGGTCTACGAGCTTGTTGGCTTTGTAACTAGAAGATCATGGGTCGGAACCCCAGTGGATGATTCCGAAACTAGGCTGAAACCGCTGTCCAGTGTTCCCAGATGGTTTTTCAATGGTTCTGTGAACCGATATCAGTTCATGATGAAATTTTAGCAACAACAGGTACTGTTTTACTGCTCTTTAATTATATTATGCTCACCAAAATAAATTCGATATGTCATAAGTAGGACGTCGGTCTGCTCCAAAATAAAAACTGCATAAAATATATACAGAGTGTACAAGTATAGAATGCTTTTTTATACAATACATAAAGTTGTGTGAATAGCTTGTCAGCCTATTGTCAATACTGAGTTTTTAAACGAAAATTCAGCTTGAATCGAATGAAATTATGAATTATCTGCCCTCATTGAACACACCTTGATACTCATTTATCCGATCACTTCATTACCTTCATTACCGTTATAAACGACTAATACATGTGGACCAGCTCAAATAAGCTGTCTTCTATGATCAGAATGAGTTCTATCCTATGTGTTATATCCTTTATCAGTAGGATTATCTTAACTCACTTCAACACTATTATTATTATTGTTATTATAACTATTACTATTGATATTACTCTGTTTGCAATTCTTGTTCTTATTCTCTAATGACTAATTGTTTATCTAAGTGATGTGTAATTGAAGCGTAATGCAATTTATCTTAATTTTGATCTCTCATACTCTCTCTCCCCTTATCTATTTGAACATGACCTAAAGAAAACATTCGCACCTGCCTTTCTGCATGACTAATTCAATGTAGTTTATTTGCTCGCTTATCAGTCTTATATCTCCCAGTGTAATTTCAAAAGAATGAGTTCTCGTGGTACTATGTCGAGAGTGAAAATCTGAAATGGTATTTATCAATTGTAGTAGTAGTGCAGCGCTGTACACATTTCTATCCCCTGAGAATTGGAGTACTCTGATGGGATATAATTCCAAAATAGAATATTTTATTTGATGTGATACACACTGAGACAGTATTATCTGGAAAACCTGAGAGCACTAAACAGTTATTTCATCCCCCTAGTTTGGGACTCTTCACCGGTACTCACCCAGTGGTGTTCCAGCCTAGAACCTTCCGGTTACAAGGCCAGCTAGTCGACCATTCAGTCACTGGGACTCGAAATGACAGAAGTTGGCATTCATGGGCTGGTCACTGGGTTAGGTCCCATTGTCTAAAAATGGTGTATGATCTTGCCTTGTAACTGGAAGGTGCACTGTCGATGAGCCCCAAACTAGGGGAACGCGAAACAGTCGGTGAAAAGTGATCGAGCCTGTAACCAATCCATATCCCTGAAAAGCAACACCTGACAATACGGTTTGTCTACTGATGACGTTTTGAGCACAGATTTTAACTCAAGATTATCTCAAGATGGTCACATAACTTCCCGACTTTGTTTTTTAAGATATTTTCATTATTTCGTATCTCTATTGAGTCATTCCTACAGAATGTCTTTGGTAGTAGATTCACTGTGAAACAGAATCAGTGGTCAAATGCTGCTTTCAGCTAACTAGACTACATTTTAGAACTGTAGCTTTGTCTCTCACCCTGTTGTACGATTGTATGCTACTGCGTTTGTTCTGGGTTTTTGTCCAAGCTAGTCTCACCTTATGAGATTATCCGCTTATTTGGACTAAACTTGAAACAACGGATTTCGAGACAATTACCTGTGTAAGTGTAGGTGAAGGTGCTTACACAGCATTTTAAATATGATACATCCTGATAAAGTATACAGCCCTCTATGCGGTACACCCAAAGTTCTTAGTTTACCTATTTCTATAAAACAACTTTCTCCTAAGATGATCGTCCTATTTGTTTGCTTATCAGACTATAGTAAGATTTTTCGTTTTTTTCAACAACAAAAAAATCATTCCTAAAGACTATCAACAAATATTTTGGAACATTTTGACATAATGGAGAAAATATTTGTAGCTCAGGTGGATTATTTCGACTTAGTTGTGTTCTCTGAGTGGCTGGTTGATGGTTAAATTGCGAACGTTTCGTCGTCCTTCGAGATAGCATCTTCAGCGCGGGTTTTACTACAAAATAATTAAAACATCAACCAGCTCCTCAGAGAACACAACTAAGTCATAAATTTTGTAAAAGTTTTCAGTATTACTGCAACTTATATTTGATAACAGTTTTCCCTTCTATAAAAAACTGTCAAACCACAATGATCCCTCTTTTTCGGAATGGTTATTAAACTCATTCTATGTATTCTGTTAAATATATTATTTCCCTTCCTAGCTTGGTGCTAAAACGGTTGGGATAAGATATTTCTTTCTCATCCTATGAAAGAAAACTTGAGATTTGTAGAAATTATAAGTTTCCAGACCGTAGGTGTTACGAACTTCCTGGAATAATTTGAGCGCCGAGTCAGATTGATTCATTATAAAATTATTTAAATTAATCCCAGCGTGTTAAAGAAAAAATCGAAACAAGATCTATTTTCTGAACGTTTCGCTGTGTAAGCTACAGCTTCTTCAGCAGAATTATTCGGATGTTTATTAATCATCAAAATATATAGTCCGAAGTTTTTTACATAAATTGAAGGTGACTTGTCCATAGACATTTGTACCAAAAGAAATATGTAAGCAGTCATCAATCATATATTTGTAATGACTAATGTCAAATTGTTATTGTGTATATTTTTTTCTGTACAAGTGTATGTTATTTGTCATATGGAAAACACGTCAGTTCACATGTGATAAACATGATAATACATTTTCTTAAAGGTCATGGAGGTTCATAGAGGTTTTTGTTGTTTTTTCATCTGTCTTGCTTCATTAGAGTTTGCCATATAGGTGGTGATAAGTCTATCCCTTCTCTCCTTCCTATTTACTGCATTCAATGTGGTTAAAGTGTGCAAGTCTTCAGAGGTCAACCTTTCTTTATGTGAATGAAAGCCTCTTTCTAGAATTTCGACATTGTCGAAATCAATCTTATGTCCCCTGTCCATAGGTAGCATGGATTGTTATAGCCGATCTTTTCTCTAGACTTTTTAATTCTACTTCATTTCTAGGTGGACGTTTCGTGCATAGTCTACGTTCATTCACTCTGACCTTCACCTGTCTACTGCTCTCCCCTATATAGCATGCTTCACACTCTGAACACTAGACACAATTACTTTGTGACATTTTGGGAACCATATCTTTGACATTAATCAAAGCATTCTCTAGAGAATTAGAGGGCTTGAAATAGACCTTATAATTATATGAGGCGAATAGCCTTTGAAACTGTTCATCTATGTCCTTTCGATACGGAATGGCTATCGTCAGTAGGTAGCCAAGATTTTTCAATTTTTTGTTTTCTCTTCTGCTCCTTCTTATTGATAATATTATCTAGTAGCTTTCCTGGATAACCATTTCCAATCACAATTTGTTTCATATTGGATATCTCGTTCTCCATATCATCACCATTATCTGTTAACTTAATATATGTGTAGAACTTGGGCACTGTGGTAGTAAGTAATTCCATATCAGTTTGTTTATTAGACGTATCACACAGTGAAACAGTATTATTTACTGCATGACGTTTCGAACACAATCTATTGTTCATAATCATTTCATCAATTGTAAGCACACGACTTTGAAACTTGAGTTTTATAGTTTTCTTTGTCCTCTCCTATTTGTCGTCGTATGGGTAGTAGAATTTTCCAGATAACTGTGTGGACAGGTGTTGAACCATTCCTATTACACGTGTCGATTTTCAGTTGATTCGATAAACGAAACAACCAAGTAGTATCAAGGAAAATCTAAGACAGGAAGTGACACATATAAAAGAAGCTTTGAAACTCAATAATTACCCTGGCAAATTAATCAGAAAGTATGTAAGGAAATGTTAGAATAAAATAAATAATGATAGTAGTGATAGTGATAATAATAGTATTAATATTAATGACGACATGCACGTCAAATATGAGCAAGACAACACCAACAATAAGGAATCTAAATCATCAGTAGTAATTCCATACAAGGAAGGAACCTCGGAAACCGCCTTACGCTGAATTCTTAACAAGGCAGACAGGAATAAAAGTGGCTGGCATTCAAACCAACCACAAACTCAACTGGAAACAAGCTTTGTCGGTTGAAGGATCAATCCTGTGGAGCCTGTAACCGACGAAACAATTTAATTTATCTAATCCCCTGCTGCTCGAATGATTGTCAGGTCAAATACTTAGGTCAAACTAGTAGAACAGGGTCAGACTCAAGTTTCGAAGTCGTGTGATTATAATTGATGAAATGATTATGAGCAATAATGAAGTGTGTTTGAAACGTTATGCAGTAAATAATACTGTTTCACTGACTGTGTGATACATCTAATAAACAAACTAATATGGAATTATCTGTTATAATGTTGCAGCTATAGAAACTATGACTTACACAGCGAAACGTTCAGAAAATAGATCTTATTTTGATTTTTTCTTAAACACGCTGGGATTAATTTATCGAAATTGATTGATAAACAGACGGTTAAAAAAGGCACTGTTACTTTTAGACAAAAAATATTTGGCAAC